TATAACATATATGTCCATGTATGTATTGATGTACAGAGAATAAAGTTTCTGTAAATGTGAAATGGGTTGAGTGCATGATTGAATGGGAGGAAATCAGACTGAATGGCCTTTGGGAAATTGCAGGGTACTTTCAATGATCCCAAACTGTTTGCTGTTGAAAGAGCTCACCTCTGTGAAATCAATATTCTCTTGGGGATGCCATCTGACTGCAAATCATAAGACATCATAGTCTCAGAAGAATCAAAGTTACAAGAAACCCAAACAACAATAGAAAGACACATAGAAGGAAGAAACATCATGTTACTAGTGCTAAGCCACGTAAGAGAACTGATCTAGCAAATAGTTTAAATGACTGGTATGTCTAGAAAAAGAGGTGAAAATAAAAATTAGATCCAAAGATGAATAAGCTAAGTTCCTGCAGGAAGGCATCCATCCTCGAAGGAGAATTTATGGAAATAATCACATGGCATAAGGAATGAAAGGCGATGACTGGCAAAGGTAAAGGGAATACATTAATGTAACAACAGATGTTTCAAAGTAATCCATTCATACAATATTATTCAAATTTTAGATGCCAAAGAATATCCCAGTAAGTAATCCAACTATATCAAGTAATCAAACTTCTCTCCTGTTTATCTTAGAAGTATTGTTATATCTTCCATGTTTACAACAGGCTTTTTGAAATTACATGGAGGCACCTATAGGCACAGATATGAAATGAGTTGAGAAAGAAATGAAACAGTTAACTCAGTAATGTTTTAAATGTAATTTTTTCACTTTTCATGTTTACATAGGACAATTTATCTTCATAATTTCAATAGCTGCTGGTGATAGGGCCACTATGCTATTTTGAGGGCAACTTTCATACTTGAAAACAATAAAAATTTTTTAGTATTAGAGTTCTGAAATTGATATTAAAGACCTAGAAATATGACGGGAATCTAACCACCTGAAAAAATTTTATATATAAAAATGAGCACAAATAAGGCATTGATCCTTTCCGGTTATTAGCCATACAGAGTACCTTACCTCTTACTTTTATGTTACTAAGGAATAAATAACTAGCAAAATAATAAGAGTGGAAATAAAAAATTACTTGATTAAAATATGTTAATGGTATATATATGGAGACAAGATGTTCCTGCCTTATTTGAATTTCTAGTAGCATTACATTGCATCTATATGAGAGTATTATTTCTTTGGGATGCCAGTTATACTAATAGTATGCTAGAAATTTGTCTTAGATATTTATGCATATAACTTTTGAACCCTTCAGCAAGAGATTATAAGATATCAGCTAAACAGCTATGTAATGCAAAAGAATTCCCAAAAGCTATGTACTGTTAAATTTAATAGCAAAGTAGTTCTTTAGCACAGTTCTGTTTGGAAAGAGTATTGGACTGAGTTAGGAAGTGTGAGTTAAAAACTCTGCTCTGACTGTAACTATCTTACCATGGTTTGTTTTTTTTTAATTCTGTGGCCCTCAGTTTCTGCATTGGTAAAATGTTGGAGGTTGGGCCAAATAATCTTTAAAGTTCCTTCTAGCTCTCATTCTGTGATTTCCAGTGATGCTCATATTTCCAAAAATACGTTGTTGCTTATAGTTACGTACATGCTGTTTTCACTCTAGGTTTAGAGTGTTACCTCAAAGTCAAAACAAATCAGTTCATTCAGGAATTGAACTAATTAAACTTCCCATATATAAAACCAAAACCAAAAACCTGTTTTCTTAAGTTTTCCATTGACCAGCGTGTTCTAGGCAGGTAAAACCTCAGTATTTGATCTCCCTCCCTATCCTTCTCCTTTACTTGGATAATTCTAAAAATATATGCTATCAGGATTTGGAGAAGTGACCATTGAGTCCGCAGTGGAATCCATTTCCACTTCTAAAACATTTCCTCCTAATATGAATTTCACATAAAATTAGTGATGAAGGGCCATGTTCTCCTCAAAGGCCTCTAAATAAGGATCATAAATACCTGGACTCGTTCTTTCTCTGAGCTGGGCCCCTCTTTGCTTATCTTTAGCAGCACTTTAGTTCTGTGAAATTAAAAACTACAGTTTAGGGGAGGGTAGGATGGGAATAACAGAATCTTGATACAAACAATTCCATATATTTTGGAAATAGTCTTTGAAAATGTTTGCCTCAAATTAGTGCTGTGAGGCACTAGAGAAAATTCTTCCTTCATAACTTATTTTGTGGTAGGTTAACTTCAAGGCTTTCAACATCTACTTCCATAAAAGAACCATCATTATAATTACCATACAAAGATCTAAAAGTTGACCTCATCCTGAAACTTGAGAAGATCAGAAAAAAGAACAACTAGATGAGTAGAAATGTCAATCTTTTGTGGGTCCTTCATTATTAAATATAATGTGTTTCCTTCAAATGAATGGAATAGGACATTTTTAATAACTGCTCACATTTATGTAGGGTTTTTTTTGGTTTATAAAATACTTAACTCATAATAAGTCAATGGAATGACTTCTATAAGTTACTGTCATCCTTGGAACAGCTAAGTGGTATGGTAGAAAGAACACCAGGCCTACAGTCTGGAAGACTCATCTTTCTGAGTTCAAATCTGGCCCCGGACACTTACTAACTGTATGACCCTGGGCAAGTCACATAATCCTTTTTGCCTCAATTTTCTCATATATAAAATAAGCTGGAGAAGGAAATGGCAAACCACTCCAGTATCTTTGCCAAGAAAACCTAAAATGGGGTCATGAAGAGTCAGACACCATTAAAATAACTGAACAACTGTCATCCTTATTTCAAAGATAAGGAAATCTGAGGCTCAGAAAATTTAATGGACTTACTGTAGTCACACACCTAGTTACATGTCAGAGTTAGGACCCCAACCACATTATCTGACTCCAAAGCCAGTATTCTTTTTGCTATACTATACTCCCTCTCTGCATTATACAAATTTGAGGTTAAAACCATAGAATCTACTTTATTCAACTCTGTCTGTGTTTGTTTATAAATAATTCATTCCCAGTAATCAAAAGTGGGTTTGCTGACATTTTTAAAAACACATAGAGACATGATAAGACCCATTGGCATGGGAAAATCTTTTCCCACTCTGCTTAGATCATTTCATCTTTTTTTTTTATTCTTTTGCCTCCCTACCACCATAGCAAGGAGCAAGAGAAATAAGAGTGGCATTACCAAGTTTGTTTTCAGAATCAGCATGTGCTCTGTATTTCTAGAGAGAAAAATACACACAAAAAAACAAATGTATACCATTTTTATAATCATGCAACCACAATGGCTTTTAATCCATTCATAAAGAAAATTGTGTCAAAGCCAACAAAACCATAACTGTTTAACATATGATACACAATTTTGCTTTTAATTAGCATGAATGGGGAATTAAAACATTAAGGGGCAAATTAATCCTGTTCTGCAGAACCTCCAAAGCACACTAAATTGCAGAGTTCTGATTAATTTGTAAGGAGTTAGACATCACCATATGTGTCATATTTATTTTCACTCCATTCCTTTAGCAAAAATCCACTTTATTTTCCATGATTTTAGCTTTTCAGCTTCCTTTCACAATGTTTTTCCCCTCTCCTGATTAAAACTAATGTGACAGTGGAAGAAGGAAGGGTGAGAAGACTTTAATGTACCTGGGGTGGCTAGAGAGCTAAAAAGAAAGATAATTCAGTAAAATGGAAGTAACAATGTGATGAATCTTCAGTTTAGGGCTCACCATGTATAAGGAAATGTGTGCTTTTATAAAACTAGGGAAGTGATATGCCTTTTAGGTATACAGAAGAGGGCAAAAGTAAGAATGAGGGGAAATTGTCTTCTTCCCATACAGATTTAAAATGGAAGAGGGATTACCTATAGGTGATACTATCAGTATTGCAGTCTATAAAATACATTGTGCGGATTGCATCAAGCCCAGGAATATTGCACATCCTTCAAAATGAGATCTAAAATGACCCAAGAGATCATCTTAAACTCCCACCCCAAAAAAGACAAGTAGTTGAAAAATACCTATTCTTCAGGTGTTAATAAGCAGTTGAATGGACTACTCACAAAGTTAATCTTGACATATACATATACACAAATACATTTATCTATATCTACATATATATTTCTATATCTATATCTATCTATGTATCTATATATGTTTGTGTCAATACCTACACCTATATATCTCTCTATCTCTATACACATCTGTAGCTATATATCTATATATCCCCACATATCTATATCTATTCATCCATAACTGGGTCCAGGATTGTTTAGGAGGAGATAAAAAATATCTCAATTTCACTTGGGAGATTTTGCCTTGCTTTTAATAATCTCAAATTTCTCTAAAACAAAAACCCGTCTCTTAATACCAGTACTTTTCTGGTAATATGGGATAAGCATTACAGAATACCAATCTCCTAAGGAACAAAATTGTTAGTCATACAAAAGGCAGTAGAAAAATGTATGGTAGACTCAGTTAAGCTATACAATGAGATTTATGCACCAAAATGGAATAAAAGTTATTATCAGAAGGATATTATTATCAAAAAGACGTATGACAATTTCATATAGTCAGTAAGTAAATAAGTATTGTCTATGAAATAGGTGATTCTCAAAATGTCCATTTAAAATAAATGCATATAATGGTATTACCTCAGCAACTAGGAAAATCATTATTATACAATTACATGTAGATTTTCGTAACCTTGCATTTTGGCTGTCTTTTTATTAAGCAGTCAGGTATTTACCTTTTGTCTGTTTGCCAATTGTTGCTTTAATGTCACTTTCTATTCATGCCTTTCAAAATGAGTCTGGAAAGTCATTACATATATACTGTAGCTACTCAGTGGGGCATTTTTCCTACATAATTTATTTGCTTTGCTTGGCTAACTTCCAATTTGCTTTTTCTTCATCTGACCTCATGATTTTTGCCATATATATTTCAGAATATAGTGGCACATAATAGACTAACACTTCTTAATTTTTTAAAAATTTTTGTTTCCTTCTCCACCAGAGCCACAAACCTGTACCTTGAAAGACTTTCTCTGCGCAAATGGGGACTGTGTTTCTTCGAGGTTTTGGTGTGATGGAGATTATGACTGTGCAGATGGCTCAGATGAGGTAGGCAACTTTGCAAAATGAAACTAAACTAAAAACAATTCTCTAGAACCAGATTTGTAATTATTATTATTCAGTCCAATGGGTGTGACTAGGACAGATATGAAAATATCCTTTACTCCCAACACATTCAGATAAGTGTTACAACCATTCACTAAGCTGCACACAGCCAGCATAGGGAATAGTTCTCATGCTACTATTGACAGTTAATTTTATAGTCTATTTTACCTCAAGTGGTGGATGGCTGGGTTGGGAATAGATGTTTAGAAACTCTATTCCCCAGAGCTGATGTCCTTGCCATCTGTGAATTTATCTATAAACCTGCTGCAATATTTACAGAAATGACTAATGTTTTTATGCATTTAAAATAGTGGCTTGTCTACAATTTCTCTTTTTCAAAAGATGTAATCTTATTGCTTCCAATATGAACTAGCAATTTTCTTTAGATGCAAAGAGCAATTCATGTATTATATGGCCATGTTCACATTGCCCGAGTGAAAGATTAAGCAATTATTTTGATAATTTAGTGAAAGTGAAGATGATGAAGATGGAAGATGAAGCAGATAGGCTATACACACATTATGTAGCTCAAATGGTTCTGTTAAAATATTTACTGCATATCTAAATAATACTGATAATAAGAATTTGCATTTGTTTAGTACTTTAAGGTTTGTTAAAATGAGAATGTTTTCCAGAGCAAGATAACTTTTTGTAGGAACACTTAGGGTTTAAGATAAAATGCCTGAAGGTGCGTTAAAGAACATACACACACACACACACACACACACACACACACACACACACGGTATGTATGTGTGTATCACACAAATAGTAAATACAGAGCCAAGATTTAAATCCCAAATAGTTGTTATTATGTTTAAATTTTATTTTGGTGATAAATGACAAGGGAGGCTTATTCTCACATTTCGAAACATGATGAGGGAGTCTACTAATATAAATAGAATTATAGAATTCAGTGATAATGAATCAAAATTTCTCTCTCTCTCTCTCTCTCTCTCTCTCTCTCTCTCTCTCTCTCTCTCCATAGCCTAATAGTATTATAGTATTCATTAATACTGCCTGCAACCTAGAGTATCTGTGAATACAATCTGTGCTTTAGCTCCATTAATTGCCATTTAAATATTAAATAAGATTTAATAGGTTTAAAGTTCTCAAAGGTATAGAAATTGGCTACAACCCATTGTCTTTTTTATTTTAAGTATATTATTGCTGATATCTGCTCCTTAAAACTGTTACTATCTTTCCTTCAGTTGGTGTCAATAGCTACCTACTGCTATATGCTTGAATTTTCGTGACTCTCCCCTTGAAGCATCAGAGTAACATATTTTACCATTCATCTGAGATTAGCCCTGCCCACATTGAAATGCTTTAAATAATGCTTGTAAAGTAATGAAATATTTAATACAAGGGACAGGGAATCTCTGTTCTGTCCCCAAAACATAAGCTGTGTCTACAAAGGAAATCCAAGGGTTGTGGTGATCATGTAGATGATTCTGAGAAAAGAAAACTGATTCAGCCCCAAAGGAAGTTAGTGAAAATTTTTTTTAAATCGTCTAAAGAATTTCACGTAAACTTGTTGTAAGAGATCATCATCAATTAAATACATTACAGTGATCTATTGAAAAAAATATTTGATCATGTAAAAATTGGCTGGAATTATTGCCTTTAGTATAGTTGCCAAAACAGAATCAATCTTTTGTTACATACAACTTCCAACACTGCCCTGAGCCAATTTACTTTATTTTGATGTTCTTTGCTCTTTCACAATTTTGCTATATTTACCTATAGTAGTAACCTATTGTAACTCCACTCACTATTACATATATTCCAAAATAGGATTCATATTTTGTGAGCAGAGGATTGATTGGGATATAGCATGGGATGGGAAAGAATAGGATAGAATAAAAAAGAAGAGGAGGAGGTGGGAGGGTGGAGGGGAGGGTAGAGAACAGAAGAGAGGAGAAGAGTGGGGAGGGAAGGAAAAGAGATTTTAAATTCTGAAGACACAGAAGAGGTCATTTACTTTCACCTGAGTAGGAACCTGCTTTCCAACATATATGTCATATGGGCTCTGCTTGAATACCACAAGTGATGAATTTGGCATGAGTGATCAAAGAATGATCTTCCAAAGCTTCTCATTTCCCTTTGGAACATCTTTCATTATTAGGAAGTGATTCTATTTGTGCTAAGCTTCAATTTCCTGATGGCACCTCTGGCCCCTAGCTTTGCTCTCTGAGGCCAAATAAAACAGTCTAATTCTTCTTCCACATGACAGCCCTTTAAATACTTTAGTCAGTCAATGAACAAGCATCATTTTTAAATTGCCTCCTATACCACAGTCTCTGTTAAGTGCAAGAGATAGAAGAGAAAACATGGAAGAATCCCTGCTAACAAGGAAAATGCATTCTATTGGGAAAGACAGTTTGAAAAATTAATGGAATAAGTGCAGGATAGGACATATAACTATAAAAGGTGATGTGATGATAACATAGGTGGAGGTTGAAGGTTTACTGTACTCCAAACTTAATATGAGTCAACAATTAAAACCAGTTGAACAAATTATGGTATATGAATATATACTCAAGCTTTTTGATCCACATTTTAAAGAACTGACCTTCTTCCCTGTTGTGAAAGTGAGGGGAAAAATGTGCCCATCCTGGTGTTATGGGACCTCTCCTATCCCACACAATTTTCAAAAATTCCTGATAAGTAGATCTACAATCACAGCTACAAATTGTTTTAATTCCTTAGGATATAGTTTGTAGGTCAGACCTGGCCTGGTAGCTTTAGCCCTGAACTGCAAAATTCTGGTATGTTTTTTAAAGCTAATTATAGAGTTAGCTATTATTCCTCTCCTCTTAACCCCTGGGTATAAAGGTGTAAATCAAGTCAGAAAGCAATCATAAAGAAGGGAAATATCATGAAAATAAAATAATAATCAATTCTTAGACAAGGAAAGTAAATAACAGAAAGAAACCTAATTGGATTGTTGGGAATAGAAGTCTCTGTGTGTGTGTGTGTGTGTGTGTGTGTGTGTGTGTGTGTGTGTGTGATGCATGTATAGTTATTTTGAATCGATGAGAAATATACATTAGAAATTCAATCATTATTTTCCTTTCTTTTAGACAAGATAAATAGTACAAGTTGTCATACATTCCAGTGGATGTCCCTTAAACAGGAAAATCATAAATGGACAAGCACTTTTAATTTGGAAAACAACATTAAAAGAATCTTATTTAACTAACCTATATGCTGCTTATTAAGTATTTTGTTCTATTCTGTTCCCCCCTTATATTTCATCATGAACATAGAGAGTCATTTATTAATCCATTTATTTATCATACAACTATTTAGCATATAATATGTATATGCATTGGATGTTTCACTTCTACACTTTTTTTTTTTGCAACTTAGGAAAGGTTTATTTTTCCATCAAAATGCTAAGTCATTGTGGTTGCTGAAGGGCATAGAGTTTGGCAACTTTTCTGAATGTATAATTAAATGGAAATCATTGAGTTTCACATTCAGTTAAATTTAATAAGCATTTATATATCCCTACTATGTTCAGTGCTAAAGGAAAAACAAGAACTTCACAGGGTTTACCAGCAGGATAGTTTGTCTATCTCTAAGAAAGAAGCATTTAACTCCATCAAAAGTTAAGTGCAAACAAAGGACAGAGGGATGTAGAATTCTTGGCTCAGTAAGAGGGCAGATGAAATTCAGTTTAATTCTGATAGTAACAATCCAAAACATTTTTATGATGCCCTGAAGGGTATTTATGGGCCAAAGACCTACAGTGCATCTCAATTACTCAGCACTGATAGAGTCACATTGATTAGTGATAAAGACATGATCCTGTAGAGATTGCCTGGACACTTTCATAGTGTTCTCAACAGACCATCATCAACCAATACTGAAGCCATTAACCATATACCTCGGGTTGAAGTCAATCCCTCTCTGGGCGAATTTCCAACAGAAGAAAAGGCTTTGAATGCCATTAGTCTCCTCTTGTGTGGCAAAGCACCTGGTACTGATTCAATTCCAGCTGAGATTTACAAGGCAGGGGGCCCACTGTTCATACAAAACTAACTGAAATCTTCCAGGTCATATGGCAAGAGAAAGTTATCTCCCACGAGTTCAAGGATGCCTCCATTGTCCATCTCTATAAAGGAAAGAGAAACAGGTTGTGTTGTGATAGTCATAAAGAGGAGTCTGTCTCTTAGTCATTGCCAGAAATATTCTTGCCAGAGTTCTCCTTAATAGACTTTTCTTTCACCTGGAAAATGGTTGTCTACCCAAGAGCTAGTGTGGTTTCAAAAAGTGTAGAGTATGTTCGCTGCCTGACCCACTCCCGGAGAAATTCCAGGACCAGAACAGAGATCTATACACAATGTTTGCTGATATGACCCATGCCTTTGATATTGTCAGTCATAAGGGCTTGTGAAAGATCATGGCAAAATTTTTTTGCTTAGTATTGTGTTGGCTTTTTTAAGCCAATTGTAGAGTTGGCTATTGGCCCTCTCCTCTAAAAGTGTAAATCAAGTCAAGAAAGCAATTGTGAAGAAGGGAAGTATCATGAAAATAAAATAATAACCAATGCTTACACAAGGAAAGTAAATAACAGAAATAAACCTAATTGGATTGTTGGGAAGAGAAGTATAAGTGTGTGTGTGTGTGTGTGTGTGTGTGTGTGTGTGTGTGCATGTGCATGTGTGTGCATGTGTGTGTGATGCATGTATAGTTGATTTGATTGATTTTTGAATTGATAGGAAATATACATTATAAATTCAATCACTATTTTTCTTTCAGAGAAGATAAATAGTACAGGTTGTCATACATTGCAGTGGACATTCCTTAAACAGGAAAATCATAAGTAGACTATCAGTATTGTATGCCAGTTTCATGACAGCATGCCTGCACAAGTTCTAGATAGATGATGGTCTTGTGTTTTCCCAGTCACTAGTGGAGTAAAGAAGGGCTGTGTGCTTGCACCCATACTTTTTAGCGTGCTGTTTTTAGTGATATTGTTTGACTCTTCAACAAGAATGAAAACAGAATTGAGGTCAGCTATCTCTCTAATAGTAAATTATTTAATTTGAAAAGGCTACCAGCCAAGGCTATAGTAGAGGAAGAGTTGGTGCATGACTTTTTGTTCCCAAGTGATTGTACATTTAATGCAACCTCTGAGGCCAAAATGCAACAGAATATAGATCAATTCTTTGCCTCTTGTGCCAATTTTGGCCTGATAGCACTAAGAAAACAGAGGTTCTCCACCAGCCAGCATTGAATCATATATATATATATATATATATATATATACATATATATATATATGTGGAACCATCAGTTACAGCAAATGGAGAAATTTTGAATACTATGAATAAGTTCATTTACTTTGGCAGTATACTTTCCAGAAATACATATAGATGATGAGGTTGATGCATGCATTGTCAGAGTTGGCTCAGTGATTGGAAGGCTCTAAAAGAAAGAGTGGAAGAGAAAGGTTATTAGGCTGCCTATCATACTGAAGGTTTGCAGAGCTATCATGCTGATGTCTTTGTTGTATGCCTGTGAAACCTGGACAGTATACCAACACCATGCCAGGAAAATGAATCACTTGCTTTTGAATTGTCTTAGGAAGATTCTGAAGATCACCTGGCAAGATAACGGAGCAGAAGTAAGGTCCTTTCTCAGCTAAGCTGTACAGCATTAAACTTCACTGCAGAGAATACCATTCCAGTGGGCTGGCCACATTGTTCAAATGCTAAATGTATGTTTGCCTTAAAGATTATTTTAAGGAGAACTCAAACAAGGCGAGCACTCACACAGAGGTTAGAAGAATCGGTACAAGTACATTCTCAAGGTCTCTCAGAAGAACTTTGGAATTCATTGTGAGACATGGGAGACACTGGCAGAGGACCTAGTATGGCAAGCCCACATCAAAGAAGGCTCTGTGATCTATGAGCAAAGCAGAATTGTAGTAGTTCAAAAGAAATGTGAGATGTGAGAATTTAGAGACATATCCACTCCAAATGTTCATATGGACTACTTGAGCCCAGCCTGTGGTAGAACTTCCTGAGCTTGTATTGGTCTGATCAGCCACATTCAGACACCTTGTAGCTTGACCCCTGATATAGTGATGTCATTTTGGTCCTCTTTGAGTATGAAGGACAACAACCAAACAACCAGACAACAGTGGTGTCAACATCAAATAGAAACAAATCCCTGATGATTTTGACTTAGAAAACTAAAATTATCACCATATCACATCATATTTTTTAATTCTTTTGTTAACCCCAATTGCATTGGAATATGATTTGACGGTACTTTGTGGGCAGTGAATTCTTCATCTCTTTACTTGCCTCCTTCCTGCTCAATGTGCAGGACAAATCAGGATGCTGAAACATAGAGGACTTTGCGAGTTATTTTTTATTCTCTGTTTTGTAAACAGTGGAGCAGTCAGAGACCAAGAGTGGTGACGAGTATTTCATTTACAGAGAACTCAAATAACAGGTTGTAATTCAGTCTCAGCTCATGTGCATGGGAAAGGAATCCTCATTGGGAAGGAGACTTGTGCACATGGAAGAACACTGACCCAGGACCAGTATTTCAAAATAATATTTCATTTTACCTTCTCATTCATTCTCTGTGAAGTCGTATTCCTAGCTGATCTTTTTTATGTTAATTTGTTTCATGTAAATAATAGAAATACTCAGACTGGGAGCATAAAACTTAATATCTGCTGGACATGGCCAAGTATAACAGATAATTTAAATTCTTGAATATTGAAAGAGAGGGTTTCAGAATGGTAATCCAGTAGGCAAAACATTTAGGCTAAAGGAGATAAATGACAATGAGTAAATAGAAAAGAAGGAATCTCTGGATGTAGGTGGGATTTGAAAATAAAAATTCTCTTTTTACAACACACTGTTGCACTCCATATCCAAAAAAAAGTTCATCTGTTTGATTAAAATAACATTTCTGTAAAGGAGCATTCTTTTCTTGTATCTAGAATATGCTAGTATAACAAATAAAGTCATAAGTTATACGTTGTTTTGTTACTTCATTTTATTATAAGCCTTATAGACAATCAAAGAGCAACAGGGAAAGAAATATTTTGGCAAGCAATACTGAATATTTTTTTGTTTTATATAGATAGACTCAAAATATTACAATATTTTTGGAAATATGCCAAAGGGGTGCATTATATTTATTCATGTTTGTAAACACCTGCCAGAAGATCCAATTTTATTACTATTGTTCTGTTTTAACAGAGAAATTGTGAAACAGGTTGCTCCAAAGATCAGTTTCAGTGTGCTAATGGTCAGTGCATATCAGCAAAATGGAAATGTGATGGACATGAAGACTGCAAATTTGGAGATGATGAGAAAAACTGTGAACCAGGTAAAGATATAGCAATCCTCTTTATTTATGTGTGGCCATTTAGCAGAGAAAATTTGATCTAAGGAACTAGCTGAAGAAAATATAGTGTTGGTAAATGAAAATAAGGATTTACTATATCTAGAAATAATATTATCTAGAAATAAAATTATCCAGAAATAATATTCAAATATGGTACACCTATTTAATTGACCTAATGTATGTCTAAACATAGATAGATGATAGAATTGACATTTACCTAGAGTTTAAACATTTTTTTTCCTAACTCTGTGTTTCTGATTTCCTGATGTTTGCACACCATTTGGAATAACTTTCCCAGGAGAATAGCACGAAAGCTGTGAAAAAGAGTAGGAATATACAATACAGATTTTTTAGTTACTGAAATTAAGCTTGTAAACCAAACTTAATAGTATATCAAACTGTAACCATCTCTGGTTAGGTGCCAAAAGCCAAAGAAGAAAATAGAGAGCTAGATTCATAGGAACTGAAATATCTTAAATGATTACATTCACGGTTTTCCAGTAATGAAAAATAAGATGAGAAATTTTTTATGATAAAAATAACTTATGAATAAATACTAGCAGGTTTATCATTGTTCACTAACTTGTCAAAATTTATCTATGTATGTGAAGCTATACAGAAAGAAAATACACAAATTCACATAATTATCATAATTATACATTATATATATATATATTATATATATTCATATGTGCTTATGCCCCATTATTTGGCTTGTTTATTAGCTTTAGATACTAGCCATTAAGTATCATATAGATTTCTTTGAGTGGAAAAATATCTACCCCTTACGCACAATTTAACTTCTTTTTTTTGGGGGGGGGAAGTAGTTATTTTTTTTTTACTTTTATTTTATTTTATTTTTATTTTTTAAATTTTTTTCCCATATGCTTTTGAGTTGAAAATTTTTCTCCCTTTTTCTCCCCCCCACCCTCCCAAAGATGGTGCACAATCTGACATAGGCTTTACATTTACATACCCATTAAACATATTTTCACATTAGTGAAGTTGTAAGTAAAAATTAAAACCAATAAGAGGAACCATCAGAAAGATGAAACAAAACTCAACAGAAGGTAAAAATAAGTGAGAGTGATTTGACTTCCATAGTTCTTTCTTTGGATGTGGACAGCATTTTCCTTCCCAAGGCCTCTGGAGATGTCTTAGATCCTCATAATGCTGAGAAGGGTTCAGTTTAACATTCTTAGTCATTGCATAATGTGGCTGCTATTGTGTACAAAGTCCTCTTGGTTCTGCTCACTTTACTCAGCATCAGACCATATAAGTCTTCCCAGGTTTTTCTGAAGTCAGCCTGTTCATCATTTCTTATAGCACAATAGTATTCCATTACATTCATATACCACAACTTGCTCAGCCATTCCCCAATTGATGGGCATTCTCTCAATTTCCATTTCTTTGCCACCACAAAAAAAAGCTGCTATGTATATTTTTGTACATGTGGGTCCTTTTCCCATTTGTTTGATCGCTTTGGGATATAGCCCTAGAAGTGCTATTCCTGGATCAAAGGGTATGCACATTTTTGTATCCCTTTGGGCATAGTTCCAAATTGTTCTACAAAATGGTTGGATCATTTCACAACTCCACCAACAGTGTATTAGCATTTCAATTTTCCCACATCCTCTCCAACATTTATCATTTTCCTGTTTTGTCATGTTGGCCAATCTGATAGGTGTGATGTGGTACCTCAGAGTTGTTTTGATTTGCATTTCTCTAATCAATAATGATTTAGAGCATTTTTTCATATGACTATAGATGGCTTTAATTTCTTCATCTGAGAACTGTCTGTTCATATCCTTTGACCATTTATCAATTGGGGAATGGCTTGTGTTCTTATAAATTTGTCTTAATTCTCTATATATTTTAGAAATGAGGCCTTTATCAGAAAGACTGGTTGTAAAAATTCTTTCCCAATTTTCTACCTTCCTTCTAATCTTAGTTGCATTGGCTTTTTTTGTGCAAAAACTTTTCAATTTAATGTAATATTACTTCATTGTCTATGGTGCCTTTTAGCAGGATGTAGTTTCCTTCCTTATCTCTTTTGATTAGATCTATTTTTGCTTTTGCTTTATCAGAGATCAGGATTGCTACCCCTGCTTTTTTTACTTCAGCTGACGCATAATATATTCTGCTCCAGCCTTTTACCTTTACCCTGTATGTGTCACTCTTTTTCAAATGTGTTTCCTGTAAACAACATATTGTAGGATTATGGTTTTTAATCCATTCTGCAATCCATTTCTGTTTTATGGGAGAGTTCATCCCATTCACATTCACAGTTATGATTACTATCTGTGTCTTTTTCTCCATCCTTTTTTCCCCCATTTATGCTTTTCTTTCTCCTTTTTCCTTTCTCCCCTTCACTAGTGTTTTGCTTTTGACCACTTCCTCCTTCAGTCCCTTCCCCCTTTTATTATCCCTTTCCCTTTTCTTCCCCTTTAGTCTTACTGCTGCTTCCCTCCCTTCTTTCCCCTCCCTTTTCTTTCCCCCTCCCTTTTCTTTCCCCTTTTCCCTCCTACTGCCTATAGGGCAAGTTAGATTTCTATACCTAACTGATTATATTATGCCCTTCTTGAGCCTAATCTGATGAGAGTAAGGTTCAAACAATGCTCCCCCCCTTCTTTCCCTCTGCTGTAATAGGATTTTGTGTCTTTTCCTGTAATGTAATTTACCCTTGTCTGCCTCCTCCTTTCTCAGTACCTTTTCTAAGATTAGATTGATCCACTTATTTGGATCCATTTAACCCACTTGATTAGATTTTTTTTTATCATTACATCAAAGTCAACTAATATCCACCCTCTTTATGTATACTCCTTTAACAAGGTGTAATAACAATACAGTTCTCAAGGGTTGCAAGTCTCATATTCCCTTGTAGGGGTTTAAACATCCCCCCCCTTATTAACAACATATTGTATCCTTCTGTCCCATTTACCTTTTTAAGTCCTTCTTGAGTCCTGTACTTGAAGATCAAATTTTTTGTTGAGCTCTGGTCTTTTTATCAGGAAAGTTTGGAAGTCTCCTATTTCGTTGAATATCCACCTCCTCCCTTGAAAAATGATGCTCATTTTTGCTGGGTAATTGATCCTTGGCTGCATTCCAAGCTCCTTTGCCTTACGGAATATCATGTTCCATGCCCTGCGGTCTTTTAATGTAGAAGCTGCAAGGTCCTGTGTAATCCTGACTGTGGTTCCATGATATTTAAATTCTTTCTTTCTGGCTGCTTGCAGCACCTTCTCTTTCATCTGGTAATTTTGGAATTTTGCTATTATATTTCTTGGCATTGTCAATTTGGGATCTCTTTCAGGTGGTGATCATTGGATTCTTTCTATGGTTATTTTCCCTTCTGGTTCTAGGACTTCTGCACAGTTTTCCTTTATGATTTCTGAAAGATACTGTCCAGGCTCTTTTTTCATCATGATTTTCAGGTAGTCCAATAATTTTTAAATTGTCTCTCCTGAGTCAATTTTCCAGGTTGGTTGTTTTACTGATGAGGTATTTTACATTTTCATCTATTTTTTCATTTTTTTGTTTCTGTTTGACTGATTCTTGCTCTCTCATAGAGACATTAGTTTCCATTTGTCCAATTCTAGTTTTTAACAGATTGTTTTCTTCTGTTAGTTTTTGTACTTCCTTCTTCAACTGGCCAATTGTGTTTTTTAGGGACTTGTTTTCTTCAGTACTCTTCTGTTAGTTTTTCCTTCCTTCTTCAATTGGCCAATTGTGTTTTTTAGGGACTTGTTTTCTTCAGTGTATTTTTTTTCCAACTGGCCAATTGTATTTTTGAAGGACTCTTTTACCTCTCTCATTTGACTATTAAAATCCTTCTTGAGCTCTTCTAAGAAGGCTTTTTGGGCTTCAGACCAGTTCATATTCCCTTTTGTTGTTGCAGATGTGGGTTTGTTGACAATGTTGTCCTCTTCAGAATTTCTGTCTTGATCTTCACTCTTCTCATAATATGAATCTATGGTACGTTTCTTTTTACTCATGGTGTTTCTTTATTCCCTGGCCTTTAAAGAGATTGAGCTCTCCTGCTGGGGACAGAGGGTACTGACCCAAGCTTCTTGTGTTGGGAGCCTAGGTCTTGGTCACTGGCTTTGCGTTCTGGGGCCTCTTATGCTGGGAATTGGAGGCTGTAGGTTTCTGGCAGCTTACCTTGTGTTGGGCTGGAATCAGCAAGGCTGGAACTTTCAGGCAATTCTAGGTTGCCTGCTTTTCCTTTCCTTTAGCTTTCTTCTGCTCCTTTTAGATGGCTGCTGCAGGATGTTTATCTGCCTGGGGCCCCCTGCAGTGTTGTCTCCCTCGTTTCTGCTAATGCACCGGGAGATTCCTTTGTGGTGGATTGCTGAGACTCCTGGTGGTTTTCTGAGCTGGTTTCCACCGGTTCCCTCCACCCTCACTGAGGCACTTGGAGGTCCAGGTGTTGGTGTTTGCCTGCTCTACCACCTGGGCTTCAGGATCTCTTCACAATTGGGGGCTTCAGGGCTTCTACAGCTCACCTGGTGTTGGGTTGGAATCAGCAAGGTCGGGGCTTTAGGAAGCCTTTAGGTTGTTTTCTTCACCTCCTTTCAGATGAATGCTGCAGGGTACTTATCCACCTGGGGCCCCTTGTTTTTGCTGAGGCACTGGGAGACCCATTTGCTGGGCCACTGCGCTGCTGCTCCTTGTCTTTTTTCTAGTTCAGGTGTTCCAGGTTTTTTTTTTTCTGGGGTGATATTTTCTGGGTTTTCAGAGGTTGATAGGGGAGAGTGAGAGCGACTACCTTTTCACTCCACCATTTTGGCTACAATTTAACTTCTTTAGAAGCCATTTCCTCATCTGCAAAACAAGGGGATTGGTGATGTAGTAAGCAGCCAGGATATACCTCCCACCTCCTTGCTAGGCTTCTGGACTACATAGGGACCACAATACCACTCTCACACTCATCTTCAGGCACTCACTGAGACATGTCCTTTCCCATGATAATTCACCCATGACTACCCTGTCCAGTGCTACCTAAACTTTTTCTCATACCCCTAACTCAGTAGTCACAGTGAATGAGTCATAATAATCTTTGGTCCCCGTTGCCTGTTCCAGACTCTCTCTCTGTCTCTCTTTCTAATGCCACCACTACACAACCTCTCATCTTTTGATATTTATAAAAGCTTAATTTATCATTAAGTCCTGATTCTAGTTGTCACTATCTACCAAACTCTAGGACATTCTCCTTGCTTTCTCCAGGGGTTTGGTGCTAGGTCCACCCCAATTCCTTTCATGCTAGAATACTTCAACATACATGATCGTGTTTCCTTTAATGTCCTTGCTTTCTATTTCTTCTCTGCTTATCTTGCATGACCCACTTCTCCATTCCACTCCATCTGCAAATGGGGATTGTCATATTCTTGATCTTGTGATAAACAATAAGTTCTATTCCCGTGTTCATAAAGTCTGGAATTTCTTTAGCTGATCCTAATCATTTATCTTTACATATTTCCCTGTCCTCATTCTACTTGAACCTACCTTTTATCTTCATTGTGACCTCCAATCCCTGCAGCATTATCCTAGGCCTTATGTGCTGTTTGGGTTTTTCTGCTTCTCCACTAAGCTCCTTGAAAGATTCATCTATACTTGATGCCTCCACTTCATTTGCTTTCATTCTCTTGTACGGTTTCTTCAGTCTACCTTCCAATCTTACCATTCAACTGAACCTGCCCTCTCCAAAGTTCTCAGTGATGTCTTAATTGCAAAATCAGATGATCTTTTCTCAACTGACCCTTCTTTACCTCTTCTGCATCATGTGACACTGTTGACTACCTTGCCTTGGACACTTGCTAAAAAGTCAAATGGATTTTAAAGTGCCATATTCAGGGGAAAGGGAAAAGAATTCCTTTAAAAGAGGTCAACCAGTTCAGGATATACACTGTTAATGTTTAATGAGGAAAAATGTATTAAGTCAAAAAGGAGCATGAAAAAGTTATCAGTAAATTAACTGGAGAAAAGGGAAAATCTATTCCTTTCCCCTTAGGAAGACAGAAATCATTTTCATTACTGTGAAATCATGTAGAATCATATCAATTTTTTTCTTTCTAATTGTAAGTTGATAGAAGAATAATAAAATGAGGGCCTTTCATCTGACAGGTTATAAACAGGGAGAGCTCTCATCCTAGGGAATGCTATAAATCCTAAAATGGGAGGAAACCTGCAAGAGCTTTTGAAATTGTACTGCCCTGAAGCTCAGAGGTAAAAGGAACTATGTATTTGGAGAAGCATTTGACACATTAGTTCCACTCAAGCCTAGCATGGAAATGAGGGTAAAATAAAGTAATTAAGTAAGTTTAGGCAATTACTTATAATTTTATATTAATGTATTAATATTAATAAATGAATTACATTAATTCATATTAGTTATAAATTATAAAATTAAGTAAGGAGAATTAAGTATTTTAGTATGATTACTATGAGAAAGTAGGCATTTGCATTTGATTGTATCTTACTTTATGAGTGCATCTTTTCCAGTAAAATTTAACTTTATGTAATTTGGAATTTTTGTAAGAATATCATTTTTATATTAAAACACGTAAATGAATATGAGCTTATTATGGTTCATATTGTACGTATGATTCTTTGCACTATCTGCAACATAAAGCCATGGTCAAAGCGTGGCCAACTAGTGGCCACCTGTCCTAATTGTAAACACTTAGGAAGAAATAAATAGCCTTGGGATTGTTAGTGTGGTAAACCCAGGCTAGCTGAAGCAGATAGGTGGCAAAGTGGATAGAGAACCAGGTATAGGATCAAGAAGATTCATCTTCCTGAGTTCAAATCCAGCTTCAGACTAGTTATGTGAACCTGGGTAAATTACTTAACCCTGTTTGCCCCAGTTTCCTCACCTGTAAAATGAGTTGGAGAAGGAATGGTACACCACTCCAGTATCCTTGCCAAGAAAATCCCAAATGGGATCATGAAGAGTCAGACATGACTGAAAAACAACTGAAACAATGACAAACCTAGACCAGTAAAGTAATAGCAGGTGTCATAATGCATTAAAATTATATTATTCTAAAACTTGTTTTTTATCATTGATGTCATTTTTTTTTTCATTTTTGAGGGAGGGTAGAGGACTGGGGAATGGGATGGAGTATTATCATTGCCCAGAAAGAACACATTCTATTCTCTGGTATAGTATTAGTGAAATAGATAAAAATGTTTTGTTTCTTAAACTTGGGAGTCTTGTGAATCCCACATATGATACAGAAATAACAAAATAACATCAAGTTAGATACAGATTTGAAATTAATTTTCCACTTTCTCCAAAATTTAATTACAAGTTTTTACAAGTATTTATTGTTAAAAATCATACCTTTGCCCCTAATTTATGAAAAATGTAAATATTATCTTGAAAAAATAAGAGAATAATGTGACATTAGAGGCAACAGGAAGAACACTGGATTCAGAAAATAAGGGGTTCAGATTCTGACTATCATTTACTACCTATGTGACTTTGGACAAGTCATTTAATCTCTATAGGCCTCACTTTCTTCATCTACAAAATGAGTTTATTATACTAGATGGTCTTTAATTACATTTTAATGCATTTCAATTATTTGACAAAGTTCTTTTTAAAAATGTTTTTAATATTAAACACTTGAAATTAAAAGAGAAAATAGTGTGATTCAGTGATAATTTGTTTTTTATTATTATTAACTATGAAATATGTTAAATTTTTTGAGTGATTTATGCATTTCTGTCAGATGAGGAGGCAATATTTTACAATGGGTAAAGTTGTGCCCTCTCACCAAAAGTTGAGACATTATGTCTAATGGTAACATTTATATCTTTAATTAGCTTCTCCTACGTGTTCATCGAGTGAGTATGTATGTACCAGTGGAGGATGTATCTCGGCATCTTTAAGGTGTAATGGAGAATATGATTGTGCAGACGGTTCAGATGAGGTAAAAAAAAAAACTACATTCAACTACAATGGTTATATCATTTGACTTTAGCTTTTAGATAATGAAACTACAGTAATTTCAAAGATATTAATATAAATAAAGAATATCCTTGTTGAAATCATGAGTCCCATACTATTTTCCAAAGTGGAGTACATATTTGTTAATTTAAAGGACAGCTGACAATATAATGAGACTCTAGAAGTATTGGCTACCTGTTTGCTCCGTCTGTGACTATATCTTTATCGTAATGAAAACTCCAGTGCAACACCGTATTTTCACAGATGGATTGTGTAACTGAGTGCAAAGAAGATCAATTTCGATGTAAAAACAAGGCCCATTGTATCCCTATCAGATGGCTATGTGATGGAATCCATGACTGTGTAGATGGCAGTGATGAAGATCACTGTGACAGAGGTGAGGAATTCTTACTCTGAAATAATAAAGGGGATATGAAACTACTTCACAAAATAGAGAACACACAATACAAATAAATTTAAGGTTTATTACTGCTATTTATTAAATTATTAAGTATATTACTATTATTTATTAAATGATCCTTCTCAATTTTCTTTATTTTCATTATATGAACATTCATTAGTGTGTGGTACCAAGTTACTTCATATCTATTATTAGTATCTCCTACATTGCTGTCATTGCCAGGTACATTTCCATATGCTAATGCTCTGGTAGCCTCTATACATTTTAGAAGTAGGAATAAATGGTGTAACTGGTAATTTGGCAGTCATTAAGATCATAGATGGACAGCTTGGTGATAGATATAAATTTATGAATGTATATGCTTATGAACATAAAATATCATACTAGATACTTTTTTTCAGTATTTAACTCTGCCTTATTATAATCCAATAGTTAAGATAAATGATATTGCTAAAACATATACATGTGATACAAAAAAACTTTGTCATTTTGAAGTGTTGCTCAACTCAAATAAAAATGGGGAGCAGGGAGGATGTTCTCTTTAGAGATCTACTTGTCCATATTACCTTGAATCTACTAGAATGAATTAATGAATTTAAATTTAGGCTTTTCCCAATTCAACCCAGTTCAAATTAATCTCTGACCAAAGATAATATTCTGGCTTAGTTACAATAAAACAGGGATAACCTGACATATTATTTTTAATGTATGTATTCCTTGGTATTGCTCTGATAACCTCCTGCTGTGCTGATCAAGAATGGAACTAGGAAATTGGGATTTGAAACCTAGTTTGTCTTAGTAAAATGGTTTATTTTGTAAAAGGCCTTTTGAAAAATCCTATGAACCTAAGTTTTTTTTAAAGGCTAATAGCATAGCATATATGATTCATGCTCTTTTAGAGTAAAGAACTTTATGCTATTCTCAGGCTGCTGTGGAATCCCCATGATGTAGTTTTTCTGAAATGTAAATTCTTTACAGTATAATAGAAAGTCCTTTGACAAGTAGTCTATCACAAAACCCCTTTGTATTTTTGTTACAATTATAATTCCATTTATATTTCTGTTCTCCTTGATAAAAGCAGTGGCATTCACAGCATTGTTATGAAAAAAAACATGACAATGTTATCTTATTTCATACCTTAGGGAACTCATTTTTGCCTTTTAACCAGATTGAATTTCTACAAATAAAGCTTTCTAAGGGGTGCCAAAACTTGGTAAAATCTGTTTGAATTTGTTCCCTTTTAAAAATGTAAAATTAAATGATTTTTTTCCCTTGGACTCTTTATTCCAAATTAATAAAATGCTTTATTCCAAAATCTATGTATTTTAATTTTGGAATTAAAATCAGTATCCTGTGAAATAAGCCTATATCCCTTTCATGCTCTATTTTTCCCATTGTTTCAGTAAGGGAGAGGAGGGTTGAGTTAAAGAACATGTTGTTATTTCACATATTTTTTCAAATATATTCTAATACCATTTTGCTTCATGACATAGAAATCACCCTTATGTTGATTAAGCAATCCTTTTATCTAGTTGACTTCTTATTGTCTTTCCAACAAGACTATACCAAACATCTTCAACCTTCTTTAAGCCCTCAATCATAGCTGTCCTTGTATACCTTACTGTAAATAGGTTACCTTGTCTCTTCCTTTACTGATAATATAGAGATTCTATAACTTAAGAACTCTCCACTCTGTCTTGAAATTTCTCTGTTTTCAATCATTCTTTCTTCCTGTTCCATTGCATGTGGAATAAATATTTCTCCTCATTTCTAAGGCTAACTCCTCATTTATGTTCTACATCCCATCTTGTATGCCTCTTTCATACCTTTAATTCATCAATCAACTCCTCTGTCTTTTGCATCATTAATGGCTCTATGTCCTCTGATGACAAATATGCCCAAATCTCTTTATTCTAATGAAATCAGTATCTTGACCCTGCTAAGCCTTCAAATGGTCACATCATCCTTTCCTTCTTTTACAGTCAGATGTTTTAATGGGTAGTCTACTTTAGTTGTCTACAATTCCCCATTGCATACCTCACCCTCTGCAGTCTCTGTTCTATTCAATTCAACAAGAATTTGTTAAGTACCTACTCTGTGCCAGGCATTTGGGAATAGGTAAAAACACCATTCCACTGAAAATGGTGCTCTTAAAAACCATTATTGATAAGCACCAATTTTATTATTCATCTTTCTGGATCTCTCTACCACATTTATTACTATTCTGCCATCCATAAGATTATAAAGTACTACTGGAAGAAAGGGGATGTGTACTTTTTTATCTTTGTACCAAGTACCTAGCACAGTGCTTGTATACAGTACGCACTTGATAAACACTTGGTGCATTGGGTTGAACTACCTCAATTCTTCATTTCTGAAGCTTTATTTTCCCTTCTTGATATTGCACTCTCATGGTTCTTATTCTCTCTGTCTCCATCCATCTCTGTCTCTATTTCTCTCTGTTCTCTCTCTCTCTCTCTCTCTCTCTCTCTCTCTCTCTCTCTCTCTTCTCTCTCTCTCTCTCTCTGTCTCTCTCTCTCTCTCTCCTCTCCCTCTCTGGCTCCCTTCTTCCCTCCTAAAGCACTTAGCAGATTTCTTAATACATAGTAGGTGTTTAATAAATGCTTGTTCCTTTTCCCATCCCCTTTCCTTAGTTCAAATGATCAGGGCCAAATGAACTATGATCCAGGGTACTGAAAGAACCAGCAGACAGGATTACTGAGAATAGAAGTGATACAGAACTTGAGAGGAAGAAATGTCCCAATTTAAAAAAGAGAGAAAGAGAGAAGAGAATAAATGTTTTCTACTAATCTGGTAAATATGGCCTTAATATCCTGCAAAATTCCAGAACTTATTGATAAAGGAATAGTTTATAAAACAGAGAGTGTGCCTGTGATTTCATTGGTATAGGGAAATCCAGAGTATGGAAACTCCTACTCCCAATACACATGAACACATTTTCTACACCTTATAGTCTTAGAGTGTTGCCTAGCCTAAAGTACTGAAGGGTTAAGTGAATTTTCCAAGGTCCCACAGCCATGTGGCAGAGGCAATACTTCAACCCAGGTTTTCCAGGCTTTGAAGCTAACTCTTTCCCCACTAAACTATACTATCACTGTTAGTAAACATCTCAACAACAAAACAGTAGTGATGACTAAAAGCTAGGAAGTCATAATCACATATAAATCATGCCACATACCCTCATTTCCTTTTTTGACAGTTAAGCTGGTTATCATATAAAAGAAATATTGTAGCAAGATTTCATTAAAATAATAATATTTTACTCATTATATTCTAATGGATAATATAGAAAGATTATTAGGTTATTTACAATTTGGAGGATTTAAAACGAACTTAATAACTAGAACCAAAGATTAGTCGTTTATGGATTGATATCTACTTGAAGAGAGATCTCTAGTTGACAGGCTTAGAGTTATGTCTTTTGAATTATGCAATTCAATATTTTGACACATGAACAAGATGAAGGCACATTTGGCATGTTTACCAATTTGCTGATGACACAAAGCTAATAGGCCTGGACAATTTATGAAATGAAAATGAAATTTAATACTTTGCTTTAAAATAAAAACCATTTTACCATTACAAAATGGAGATTTGGCTACCCAGCAGATCATCTGGATAAGAGATGGGTGTTTTAAAGGATTGCAAGCCTTCATTTCATTCTTAAACTCCTTTTCCTAAACTCTAATTGCTTGTGTAACAGAAGAAACACCGACTATGCCATTTGTTAGTTAGGAGCACCCACTAGAGGTTTTAGACTCGAGACTCTAGGAGGTTCACCGTAGATCTGAGCACCCAGAAGGACAGGAAGATAGCTTCAGAGAGGTTAAATAATAATTTATTCTTATTCCCCTCTATCTCAATAGGTACTTGATAGTGGGAGCATCAACTCCTGTAGGACACCCTAATCACCTGTGACAAGAGGGGGAGGGCAACAACCCCTACTTCCCGATGAAGGCTAATGGAGACGGGCACAGTATTCCAGTTTATGCTCTCCTCTTAATCCCCCCAAGCCTCAATGGAGGCCACTTGAGGCACTCACATATAGCTTTCCCCACTTACTGACCAGTGCTCTTTTGATTTGTAGAGAAGCACACAAAGAAGGCAACTTGCCAACAAAAAGTTCACAGGTGAATTTTAGCAATATCACCATGACTTAGCATAGCACAAGTGTAGTAAATATGTCATCCCTATATCTCACTGTGCAGTTGCAGTAGAAATTGTTTTTAAACCACAACCCTGGGAATTACAGATTGTTTTGGCCATGGATCCTGGAAACTGTTATCTAAAAAAGGACAAATCCACTTTACATACAGCTTGCTAGATGTCTCTACCATGATGTCATGAACTCATTATCTTTTCTCCTAAACTCAGTCCTCCTCCTAACTTCTCTGTTTCTTTTGAGGACACCATCATTTTCTAGTTCACCACCTCAGTATCATCCTAATCTCTTCATTTCCATTTGATCCCCGTGCCTAGTCAGTCAACAAATATTGCCAGATGACCCCTACATCATATCACAGATGCATTCCTTCTCTTCTTTTATACCATCCTAGTCCAAGAGTTCATCATTTCTCACCTGCATTACTAAAATAACCTCCTAACTCATATTTAATCTCTCCCCTTTCTGATTAATCCTCAATCTAGCAACTAGGATGATATTCCTGAAGTGAAAGTCTGGTTCACCAAGCTTCAGTGACTCTCCTTTTTTTCTACAATAAAATCCAAACTCCTTTGGCATTAAAAGACCTTCACACCTGGAATGGAAAAGGGTGGCTATAATCCTATCACTTGAGGAGCTGGAGGCTGGCAAATCTATTGTGCTCAGGAGTTCTGAGCTGTTGTGTTTTATGCTGAATGTCTCCACTAAGTTCTGGGAGCCCAGAAGTGGAGGGAAGAGGAGAGGGAGGTGAGAAAGACCACCAGCTTGCCTAAGGAAACGTTGAGTTGTCTTTTGCAAATCAGAAATTATGCTAATAATCTGTAGTGTAATCAGGCCTGTGAATAGTCCATGTACTTCAAGCCTGAGTGAGATAAGAAAACCCAATCTTTTAAACAACAACAACATAAAAAACCTTCACAACTGCTCTTGAGTCCATATTTTCAGACTGATTGTATATTACTTTCCTTCACACACTCTGTGCTTCCAACAAACTAATCTAATTGTTTGTTCTTTATGCATGACATTTTATGCCCTAGCTCAGCCTTTCCACAGGCTTTCTCATACATCTAAAACCCTCTTGCTCCTTGTCTTATGCTTAGCACCCCTATCTTTCTTCAAGGCTCAGCTCAAGAATCAATTCTTCCATGCTTCCTTTCCTGACTACCCAGAGTTGTTGTATCTTTCTTGAATCATTTTATATTTATTTTTATATATCCTGTAACTCTGAACATGTCTTGTCCCACTAATAAAATGTTAGCTCCTCAGGGGCAAAGACTGTCTATCTCTTGTATTTCTATCCACAGTGTCTAGCATAGTGCCTAGAACAGGGGTGGGTGAACTGCGGCCTTGAAATCAGATGTGGCCTTCTGGGTCCTTGGGTACAGCCTTTTGACTGACTCTAAGTTTTACAGAACAAATCCTTTTATTGAGGAAATTTGTTCTGTAAAGTTTGGATTCAGTCAAAATGCTGCATTTGAGGACCAAGAGGGCCACATGTGGCCTCAAGTCCACAGGTTCTTCATGCCTAGCCTAGAACATAGGAATACATATAGGGACTGAACCTATGATCTTACTGGTATAGAAAACTCTATACCAGTTTTCTGGTATAGAAAAGATTCTGGGTGAAGAAATTGCATAAGTGGTAGCTAAATAAATCTTTGCCAATTATTCATTTGATTGAATAAATGTCAATAGTATGACATGACAGGAAAAAAAAAAATCTAATGCAATCTTCAGTTGTGGAATATCTGGATATTATCCAGATCCAATATCTGGATCTACTGTATTCTGGCCTAATAAGACCCCATCTTGAATGTACTTTGGGGTATCTCATTTTAGGAAGTATATTAACAAGTATCCAGAGGAAGGCAACCAGGCTGACAAAGGAACTGGAGAACATACCGAAAGAAGATCTGTTGAAAGAACTGGAGAAGTTTTTAGCTTAGAGAAAACTTAGGAAACACATGATGATAGTTTTCAAATATTTGAGAGAATTTTTATGTGGAAGGTTGGTTTAGATATGATGTCAGGCCCTAGAAAGCAGAACTAGATGGAGTATAAAGACATTATGGGAAGGCAGATTTAGTAATTCAGTATGGTTTTTTAAAAAATTTTCTAGCAATTAGAACTGTGCAAAAGTCAAATGTGCTGCCTTGATTGATAGATTTCCACTCATTTGAGGTCTTCAGATAAAGACTAGATAATCCTTTATTGGAGATGTTTTAGATCCAACTTGTCCAATTTGTTGTAAGAATTATATTAGATGGGCTTCGAGATCTTTTCCAACTCTGAGACTCTGTAATAACTACAAGCCCCCAATTTTCTTTATTCAAGTCTTATATACCAGTGGAGGTTTGATGTAAATGCTGTCTCCTCCAGGAAGCCTTCCTCAATTCCTATAGCCAATAGTAGTTTTTCCCTTCTTCAATATTTTGTATCATTTTTTTATGTTGATGGGCATGTTTTCACATTTTATCTCATATTACAATTATCTATATGTATTATATGTTTTCTCTTAGATTTTACATTCTTTTGGGGACTATATCTTTTTGCACTCTACCTTGAGCACCTCTTTGCGTGGCAAATTTTGGTGATAGTTATATTTTTTAATAGATGAATCATCTAATTATCTCCTTTATTTTATGAATGAGGAAATGGACATGAGAGGCTAAATGACTTTTTACAATGGGTTATTTAATAACAGAAATGTGACTTGTGCTAAGGCTCCTGACTCAGGATAGAGCTCTTGCCCCTTTATTGCCTAATTATCTTTTTATAACAGTACCTCAGTCTACTTGGAAACAATGAAAATAAATCTTTGTAATCCATATAGGAAAGTAACAAGCATATAAAAGTAAAAATATTAGCAAACATATATAATGATGAGTTTCCTAGGCTATAGGTCCTTTAAACAAAGTTGATGTCTACATTAGACACCAAATTGACCATCACAATGGTCAGTTGATTCTGTAAGTTGATTTCGGTAAGAAAAAGTCACTCAATGTTGTTATAGTGATGAAACATTTGAATGACTGATTAAATCTTTCTATGCTAAAATGTCGTGGTATACTATGAATTGAATCAGCCACATTCAAAAGCCATATCCCAATTTTCTTAGTACTTTGTCATTATAACAAAGCAAAAACAAATTTTAAGATCAAAACAATTCATTTGAAGGGACTTCTATAATTTTTGCGACAGTTTCACCCAGTTTCTACAGCAGAAGTGAGCAATGCTATGATGTAGGAACATTCTTAACTGTTCTTGGAAGTCCATTGCTTAGTTATGATATAAAATCAGTAGAAAAACTTCCCTCCATCCTCTTCCCTCTTGGTGTTCTCTGTTTTCAACAATCCTATGTGTCTGTTTCCCAGCAACGGAAAAATTCCCCACTGATTTTAAAGAAAAGTATTTCTGCCTGTCAGCACAGAACATTTTGTTAAAAATTCAAATTATTTCTTTTAAAAAATTTAAATGTCTTTGCATTTCTGTATTGTAAAGATTGTATAGGATGTGAGTAATTGAAAAACAAGAAAAATTCATCTCATGAATATAATAAGTGTGAAAAGATAATATGAAAACTTTGAGATAAAGACTTCTATGCCTTGCAGTATTATTTAAAACCTAAATGTATCATATTAATAAACTTTTTGTTATTTTGAATGTTACTTGCTTCAAGTTCTAAGCCAGGGGGAAAATATGCATATATACACAAGAAACTCTGGAAATTTTGTTCTTAAAATATAATTAATATCTAACATACACTAAGTAACAATTTGGATAATATAATATGTAATACTATAATAATTATTTGCAATAATTATGCTGCCTTTTTTTCTTATCCAAGGTGGAAATATATGTCGAGCTGATGAGTACCTTTGCAATAATTCACTCTGCAAACTACATTTTTGGGTGTGTGATGGAGAAGACGATTGTGGAGATAACTCTGATGAAGTCCCTGAAATGTGTGGTATGGTTTTTCAATTAGCTCTCACTTTTATTTTTCCTTTAGATATAATGTACCCATATGAATCAATGAATTGGAACAGGGTAATACAATTTTCAGTTTGGGGACTGCATGGATGAACAATTATCCTTATCCTCTTGACAATTAATAGAAAGATTAACCTGTTCACATTTTATGTTTTTTCTAATCCTGTGCTTACATATATTAACTCTATTCAAAGGTTAGATTTTCTTCTGCATGGGATGATTTCAGGCAGTTTCCCCTATTAAAATGTGTCATGTTATGTAAAAAGTCATGTAAGGACATTGCCATCATACATAGCTGGTATTAACACTATGATTGGTAAGTAGCTGAGTGAAATGGGGAAAATACAAAAAGTACAAACAATCACACACACACACACACACACACACACAAATAAAGGAATCATCTACCTCCATCAGTCATCCATGAATGTTCAGGGAAGATATAGAATATAGGAAACATAACTGTTGGAGCAGAAAGGTGACACGATAATCTATTTAACATTTTAAATCTAGAAATCCAACATCTTGGCTATTCTGCAAATGGTTGCTACTTCACTTTATTCCTGCTCCTCGATGACATTTATTTTCACTTTCATGCTGAACCAACAACAAACATAATTGCACACGTGCAGATCATCAGAATGCTGAATCTCTTTCATGTTCCCAAGGTTCAATTTGCCCTTTTTCCCATTCTTCACATCTAATATTAGCGTAGGAGCATAACTTCACCTTTAAATTAATGGAAAATGTAACCACTTTGGCCACAGCTAAATAACACTTAAGGTGAATAGAAAAACCCCAACTGTACTTAAAGTCCTTGTTCTGTTTGGTATACGAAGTTAAAGCTAAATTTCATGATGGATGATGGCATAGGAGACTGACATTAAAGAAAAAATGAAGCAAGATTATTTTCAGGAACAGGCTTTACAGCTTAAAAGAGTCTGCTTAGAGAATTTTCACTACAGGGACAATAGCTCAGAGATTTATTCCCAGTCCTCATTCCATTCTTCTTTATAAAATCAAGAGACAGAAAAGGTTCTGTTGAGATCACTGTATTTCTGAATTAGAATAAAATGTAAGAGTTGTGATTGCATGGCACACATATTTTCCAATACAGATGTCTTATATTACTCAATATGTGTTAGGTATATGTTTGGGGGTGGTTTGTGTGTATGGGTATGGGCTTGTTTTCATTCTCCTTTTGGTCTGTAGAGCTAACAAGAAAAAAAAAAGCACAAATTACTTATTGTAGGACTAAATAATTTCATAAGTTATGCTTGCATCCAACCCAGAGTCCAAGAAGGAGCTCGAGGGGACAATCTACACAGTACTGCCCAAAGCCTTAAGATACCTAGGTTGATACTATTAAGCCATTATTATATTCTCTGCAACATCACTTTACGGAGAAGAGGGAGTACAATTTATTAATGGAGGCCAGATGATGGGCCCAACAGTGATGTGAGCCATGCCCCAGATTCAGCCTAATGACTACATACCTGGAGTGGGTTTGCTGAACCTGTGTGGTATTATTTGGGGGTGGGAGTGTGGGGAGATGGAGCCGCCACTGACACCAAGTTGTCATAAAGCCATTATGGAGTGATCAGACAGATACCTCAGATATGTGAGGTTTCCCTTGAGTCTCCTATATTTGAAACAGAGGTGCAGAACAATGACCATGGTACCTTAGACACCTTTCTAATGCTTTGATTCATAAATAGGTAAAGATAGTGAGACTCATTAAAGAGAGAGAGGGAGAGAGAGAGAGGGTGGTGAGAGAGGGTGGTGGGGAAGGGGAGGGGGAGAGAGACAGAGAGAGAGAGAGAGAGAGAGAGAGAGAGAGAGGAACAGAGACAGAGAGACACAATTGGGAGGGTGGAACATTTATTTAAAATTTACTATATACCACTTATTCACATATACTAATAACAATTATTAAAATTACCCTATGTGCACACACATATGAACAGTCAGACAAATATTTCTTTCCAGAGGATAATAGAGAAATTTTTATAGCTTTAGTATTTCTCAAGTGGTGGGTTTTATTTCATTTTCTTTTCAGTAGGTGGCCTGTTTTTCTACATACAATGTGGTACCTATAACACATGCTCTCTCAAAATTGTATGCTGTGTGAAATTGCTCTTTGGGATAGCTAAGTGTCCTGCCACCATGTATAAATTGTAGGCATAATTTAATCTGGTACACTGAGTAAAGTCAGCTAAGATAAGGTATCTAAAAATGAGACCATGAAGGTTGGCTCTTTTACTTATCTTCAGGTAGGTCCTCTATTATACAGTCAAATAATAGATATGTCTGGACTTTATGATGACATTAAAATGAGCCAGAGGAACAAATAATGTTTTCTGTGGTTAATAGAAATAATCAGAAGCAGAAGCTTCTAACACATGTTTTTTTTTTTCCGTGTCCACAGATAGACAATTTTCACAATAAAAAGAGAAGTAGAATATGCATTTGAGCAAAGAAAAAAAATCAAAGGAGAAAAAAATGACTACTTAAATTGTTTCCAAATGCTGTATTTGGTGTTTCTTTCTTGCAGCAAAGTTTCCATGCCCACCCACCCGCCCTCACAGATGCAGAAACAATCGTGTATGCCTTCGACCTGAGCAGATTTGCAATGAGATAGATGACTGTGGTGATAACTCAGATGAAGATCATTGTGGTGGTAATTCCATTTCATTTGGAATTCATTCCAAACCAATGATGACAGAAAGCATAATTTAATGGTTACTGGGTTTTGAATTCAAATTTCTCATTTAGTTTAGTGAAATAAAAGATGTTTCATGTGGTCTGAGGGTATTTCATCCAGCTATTTTGCTTTATGGCAATAGATTAAAATAGGTTAATGTTATTAAATTTGAAGAGTTTCTACATAGACTATTTCGAAGGATATAATACTCACACTGAGTATTTATATAGCACTTGAAAATTTCCAAAACACTTTACATATGTCAGCTCATATGACCTCACAACAACCCTGTGATATAAATGCTTTTATTATCCTCATTTTGTAGATGAAGGAAACTAAAGCACACCAAGGGTAAATGATTTGCCCAGGGTCATGTAGTTGAAAGTGTTTGAGACAAGATTCAAACTTGATCTCAAATCCAGAACCCTATCCACTGCACCACCCAGCTGCCTCTATATGCCCATTTTTTCAATGTAAATGTACATGTATATATTAGATAAAGAGGGAGCCTGGTGTGGTGAAAAGAATGCTGGGTTTGGTGTCAAGAACGCCTGCATTGAAATTCTCTTTGTAACTTAATACTTGTGTGGCCCTGGGCAAGTCCCTTATACTGTATAAATTCTAACTTGTAAGATTAAGTCTCTGACAGTCTATACTGGTGTAGGAAAATTCTTCATTGTTGATGAAAACACAGATTCTTATGAGTATTTGTATATAGGTATAGAGATATCTGTATATATACATATACATTTACAAACATACTATACAAGAGAGGGTGTCAAAATCAAATAGAAATGGAGGCCACCAATCTATATATATATATATATAAGGGTCCCAAAGGTCACATATTGACTTAGTTTTAAAATGTAATGTTATCTCTTTTATTGTATTTTTATTTATTTTACAAAATATTTTCCAATTATATTTTAATGTGGTTCTGGGTGTGCTCATGAGTGTTGGGACCACCTGCAGCCCATGGATTACATCTGACACTTCTGTTACATGGTGTCATACAGTGGACAAGTAAGAGACCTCTGAGTTAGGAATACCTGAGGCCAAACCCCACTTTTGTTATTTATTTGCCATGTGACCCTGGTCAAATCACTTAACTTCTGTGTGCTTCAGTTTCCTCATCTATAAAGTGTACTCCATGATCTCTAAGGTCCTTTCTAGTCCTAAATCTGAGATCATCTGATCTCTTGTATCTTGATATCTTTTATTGTTGTCACTTGCATGTAATGAATGTCCAATAAATATTTGTTGATTTATCAAATGATTTAACTATTCATTGCATTTGTTTATAATTGTATAGATAAATTTACATATAAAACAAGACCTTGTAAAAAGGATGAGTTTGCTTGTAGTGATAAAAAATGTATACCCATGGAGCTACAATGTGATCGTTTTGATGACTGTGGAGATGGTTCAGATGAACAAGGCTGCAGAACGGGTGAGTTTGCTTAGTGTTGAGCTACAGTTAGTCAAGGCATCTAGGTGGCACAATGGATAGAATGCCCAGCCTGGAGTCAGGAAGACTCATCTTCCTAAGTTCAAATATGGCCTCTGACCCTGGGCAAGTCACTTAACCCTGTTTGCATCAGTTTCCTATAAAATGAGCTGGAGAAGGAAATGGCAAACATTTTCAGTGTCTTTGCCAAGAAACCCCTATATGGGGGTCATGAAGAGTCAGAGCTTACTGAAAAAACAACTGAACAAAACATTAAGTCAAGTAGTTGTAATCTTTGTGGGTGAAACTAAGGTAGCATCTCAGAGGAAGGAAGGGACTTCAGAAGTCAACTAGCCCGGTCTTCATTCAAACATACCATCCATTGTAAGTGACTGTTCAGCTTCTTCTTATAGTTTTCTAGTGACGGGAACTTAGTACCTCCTAAATCAGACCGTTCCAATATGGAGTAATGGCAATAGTTAGGGACTTAGGCATTAGATCAGTATCCCTCAAGCCTTGCTTCACTCTTTCTCAGTCTTTATTATTTTGACAAAAAGATGCTTCTTGCAACTTGCTGTAAGCAAAGTCTAACTTGTTAAAGCAATCTTTTGTTTTAAGAGTCTCTTAAATTACTTTAAGTAATTAACAGAGGAAAAAAAAGATAGCATTTAAATAAGTACTCTCATTAAACTGGAAAGCCTGATGTTCAAATAAGGACTCTAGTCTGAGCTTTTGAACCTGTGGCCAGGAACTTTTTTTATGAAAAAAATTAAAATGAATTATTTTAGGCATATACAAAAATATTTTCCTTGAGTCATGGTTAAAGTTGAGGGTCATTTTCCCCTTTCCAATTATCAGTAGTTTCTTATTTCTTTATACTATATTTTCATTCTTTAGGATGAGTTCTAGGAATCCTATATGTTAATAATATGTTCAGATACTATATGTTAATAATTTTACATTGAGTTACTATTAAGTATCTGATTTTCCTGGAGCAGAGAAAATCACTGAGCTCATGACTAAATGGCATATACAAAGTGTTTTTAAAATATGCATAAAGTAGTTGATGGCTTTGAATTTTGACGTCATTTTCTACAAGTTATTCCTCACTAAATGATGATAAAGAACCCCAACAAGAAATGGGCAATATAGAGAGGCAATAGACTCAATATGATGCCTATCCAAATCCATGTCAGGAATCTTTGGGATAAAACATTAACTCTTGGGAGGGCTTGGGAATTATGTTCAACTTTGAAGCATGTCTCCAACCACTGCAATATGCCACAGATTTAGAAAGAGAGTGAAGAAGTACTGCTTCTGGTGTCAAAAAGGCTCTCTATAACCTTTCCTTTATAAAATAATGCCTCCCCAGTAGGATGTCCTCATGGAATCCCACCAGCAGCAGGTCTTGGTAACTGCTTGAAGTTATTGTTAATGATACCATAACATATTCTATCTAAATTATATTAGCTATAAATTAACCCACTTTTTTTCCTGTTTATGTACCTTTCTGAGGTCTAAGGGATCATAAGGAATGAAAACTATAATCTTATGCAATACTAAAAGAACAGTCTGGGGAGAAAATTAATATCATTTTCAAATAAAAATATGCAAATCTCCCACATTAGGAATTAGAATATATTAGATTTGACCATACATTTTTAATCCTAGTTCCCACTGAATATACCTGCGAAGATAATGTGAATCCATGTGGAGATGATGCATATTGCAATCAAACACAAACATCTGTTTTCTGTCGTTGTAAGCCTGGATTTCAGAGAAACATGAGAAACAGACAGTGTGAAGGTATAGTACATTTCGTAAACAGCTTGCTCTTAAATCTTTGGGTTATGAGATGAATCCTAAAACTGCTAAATTGTGAAGTGACAAGCAATTGATTTTCATCAAAATTGTATGTGATAATGTAATACCAACATATTACTTATGAGAGTGGAGAGTCTCTTGGGTCAAGCATGGGTTTGTTAGACAGCTGAATTGCCATCTAGGATACAAAGCCTTTTGTAGAAAAGCCTCAGACCTGGAGGAACTAGATTGTTTTGTTCTATCTTTGGTTTTGAAATGCAAATAAAGAAATTTCTATTCCAAGAACTACTGGAAAATTAGGTTCATTTCATGAAAGGATATATTCTTGTTGACCCAGTTCTATGGAGTTATAAAAGTTCTTTTTTTAAAAATTATCTGTCGCTGTACAGATACTGTGACTCAGAAAATATTCTGGAGCATGAATACATTTTGATTTAAAGCAATGACATACACTAAATTGATATTTGCCAACTCCTGTCTAAATTGGTTAATAGGTATATAGGACAGCCAAAGGAAGTAAGTGAGGTATATGCCATGATTTAGAGTTATCTGAATGTTTTTCCCTTTTTTTTTTTTTTGGTGGGGGTGGGAAAGGAGAGAAAGTAAGCAATCAGTATAGTGTTATTATTCTTGTTCTCTCCGTTAGTATGGACAGGTGAAAGTAGATCGCATGAGTTTTCTTTGTATTCTGATTAAAGTTACAATAACTAATGCTATTTCACTTTATTCATTACGAAAAATTTAATTGATGGCTTTTATTAAACAAAATAGATTTATCTTTTTAGATGGCATACAGACAAGCTTTTGACAGAGCCATAGTCTTGATTTACTAATATTCTTCCGGACAGTCATTACTGTTGTGGATATATTTTAATTAGATTTAGAAAAAGCTAATGCAGATTATGTAATTTTCAAACTGGTAGTTGCCTTCCCCTTTACTTCCTATTGCCCTGAAATTGCCCTTTCCGGTTCTTTTCAATCATGTAAATGAACACAATCTTTACTCAGTCATCGGATCCACTTCCTTATTTGATTATCAGAATGTTAATTATACTCATTGGGCATGGGAATGGAGGAGGATATTACCTGGTGATAATTACAGTAATATTCCATAAAGTTTATATTCACCCTACATGGTACTAAATAGGAGCACATATGATTGAAATTTGCTTTGAAATAATTGTAATCATAATGGTGCCCATGATGATAATGATAGCTAGCATTTACATAACACTTTAAGACTGGCAAGGTTCTTTACAGATCTTATGTCATTAGATCTTTATAAAAACCTTGTCAGGTAAGTCCTCGGATTGCTCCCATTTTACAGATGAGATAACTGAATCTAACAGAGGTTATATGATCTCCTCAAGATCACACAGTTAATGTGTCTTGAAAGCCACATAATTGGCATTTAGAATACCTAGGGTAAAGACAAGACAAAGTGACATAATGATGGAAGGAGAGGTTTAGTTTGTGTGTGTGTGTGTGTGTGTGTGTGTGTGTGTGTTGTATTGTGTTAAATGCAAAATGGATTGAATTGACATATTCAATAAAACTCCCTGCCCAGGACCCAAATATTTTTCTATTGATTTCTTCTTCCTCTAAGCTCCAAAAGATTACAAAATTATTTTAGTGATAATTGGGGGTATATAATTTATTATAAATGGGGATATAATGAAATAGAATATGGGAATGTAAAATCAGGTATGTGTCAGATCATCAAATAATGTCAATCTAATTGAAGAGAAAGTACTATAGTGGAGAGAGAGTCCTGACTCCAACACATACTGACTGCACAATTGTGGACAAGTGACTTCATCTCCCAGAGATCCCATACAACTAAATATGAAATATCATAAATTTTATAGCAGGTGATGATTTGTAATGAGTTTCCTACACCAATTAAAATCATGTCTAAACCTCCCCTTCCTCGTGTCTGTGTGTGTGTGTGTGTGTGTGTGTGTGTGTGTGTGTGCATAAAACCTCTTTTAAGCTTCATTTTGGCATAGTGGATAGAGATGACACTTCATAACAAGGACCTTAGCAAAGTCCTGCCTCTGACATATCAGCTGTGTGATCCACAAGTAGTTAAGAAACTACCAACCTCCAACTCACCATTGGGGAGTTCCAGTCCCAAGCCATTGAATTCCTTTCTTGCTAAACAAAAAGGAAATCATATGTCCACTTTTAAGCTGTAAATTCTAACTGTAAACAGCTACAAAAGATGTATTCTGATAACAAGGGGAAATCACAGGATATCAATTTGGAAAATGAAGATACTTGAAAATGTGATCTGATAGTTACTAATCAGGGCAAAAAAATAAATAACTAAAACTAAATTGCTGACAGAGATGCAGTACATAGTTATGGGAAAGTTATGGTGAACTCCGCCAGAAGCATAAAAGAAGAGTGATTTTATTCATATATGTCACAGAGGTTCACAATAAAAAATTAAGGGTAGCAATTACAGGAAGCAAAAGGAACTTGACTTGTTTATGATGTAGTTAGGACAACACACTTGTAGGCCACATTTAGGCTGGGAATGATGTTACTTTGTTTTTTATTTTCCCCCTAGACCTCAATGAATGCTTAATGTTTGGTGCCTGCTCCCATCAGTGTGTTAATATGAAAGGGTCATATAAGTGTGTGTGTGACCAGAATTATAAGGAAAAAAATAACACCTGCATAGCAAAAGGTAAGGTTATAAGTGTTCATTTTAATGTCACCATATTTTTTATTTAAAAATCATATTGAGGATCACTGGTGAAATGTGTCTTGAGCAAATATATTTTGAGCTGTTTGGATATAGTTCCATTCCTAAAATGAAAAAAAAAAGAGGGGGTGATACTGATGCGTTTGAATGGGCTTCAATACTGATTGAGGAGTGTCCTGTTGAGTTGTTATACTTCTTTAGTAATCTCAACTAGGACATCATTTTAAAATGACTCTCAAAAGCAGGGTAACTAATGAAAAAAGTTCTCTGTGTTTTAAGAGACAGTCAAAATTGGTTGAATTTCACAAACAAAAGTGAAATTGGGAGTTAAAGAATCTTAGCACGATGCCTGATTTAATGGGAGATTATTGGACTATTAGGAAAAAAGTTAAGGATTGACAGTGCCTTCTGAAGAAGGGAATTTTAAATAAGGATTTAAATGGTTTTAGCCCAATTCCAGTAGTCATGTTCTGATTCCCCTTTATTCATAAAAATAAGTTTTCATTAAATACTAGGTATAGAATTGAAGTGTTTAGAATAGATATTCGTGCTTATCAGTTTGTTTCATTCACAAAAATGCTATGATTAATAATGACATCACATGCCTAGTTGCTAACCCTACCCTTATCTATCTGACATGATTTGGGAATGGGGTGTTATAAATGATCTTCTTAATAAAGAATGACTCTGCTTAAATTTATACACTATTAAATGCAGTTATCACTAAAACTATTTGCAACTTTATAATGAAATTCTTGGTGCAGGAATGTCCTTAATCAACTGAGATCATAATCTATATGTGATTTAGTATATAAATTCTATGAAGTATCTTAAAGCACTTAGATGTTGCTACCTACCCAGGTCACTCTGCTAGTGTCACAGGAAGATTTTGAAACCATGGCTTTCTTATTCTAAACCCAACACTTAATTATGACCTGCTGCCTTTATGTTGAATACAAATTAATCTCTATTAGGATTTTTGTAAAGTAATTTAAGATGATTTAATACCTCAAGGCCACCCTTATGTTGATAAATTATTTTGACTTTGAGTATGCAGAAATATTGATTGATCAAGAATTCCATATAATAGAATTCCATTTAAGAGAGAGTTCAAAGTATATTTATGTGGGCTACTCAGATTCCTAAGGTAGTTTTACTTAGGGTAGAATAGGGCTTTGCATTTCTTAACACAGGTTTCTGAATCCACTGTCATGAATATTTAATATTTTAAAAATAAATATTTAGATATAACTGTGATTTAGTGAAAATTGAGATTCAATAAACGAGTTACACAGGATCATTAAAATAAGTGTATTTAAACACTGTATTGTACCCCAGTTGTATAGCAAAATTGAATATACTTTCCACAAAGACCCCATTTATATCTGTGTGAAAAATTTTGGTCAATGAGGAACTGAAATGTCTAGGTTGACATTAGAATTCTTAAATCAGGAAAGCTAAGGGGTCAGAGTAAAATGACTTGATTTTAATTGAAGATGCTGTATAAGCATGAAAATACCGCATAATTGAAAAATAAAATGTTTGCTTTTACATTAGTTGAAATTGACTTTATTTTTGTATTTCGTTATAATAATCTCCAGGCTCTGAAGATCAAGTTCTCTACATTTCTAATGACACTGATATCCTGGGTTTTATATATCCATTCAACTACAGTGGCGATCATCAACAAATTTCTCATATTGAACATAATTCAAGGATAACAGGGATGGATGTATATTATCAAAGGGATATGATTATTTGGAGTACTCAGTTTAATCCAGGCGGAATTTTCTACAAAAGGGTCCGCGGCAGAGAAAGAAGACAAACTACCAGTGGTTTGATTGTAAGTAAACAGCTTTGAAACTTTAAAGCTGCATACCCATTTAAAGAAAAAAAAAAGCAACAGCAAATTATCTGCCTAAGAGTTTGTAACACATTGTGGTGACCCCCAGAGAATACTCAATAAATAATTGACTGACTCCCAAAGTCATAAAAAATAAAAATCATTTCCCTGGCCACTTAATGTTGCAGCTGCCTGAGAAACATTCCAGTTTGCATGGTTTTATGTATTTGTGGTTTTGGTAGGAACATTTTAATTTCTAGATCCTGAAAAATGAAATGAGGCTTTTTGAACATGTCATGAAATTCAAAGCATATTGTTTTTGTTTGTTGATGTGTTGGTTTTAATTAGGAAACTTCATATTTGAATGTCACCAAAAATACTTCTCATAAGCAACAAGAGAAATTCAAACCAAAATAGTGTCAGTGTTTCTGTTACCTTCTGATGACTATGATTGAGCAAAACCCCAAGAAGAATGTGTTTCTTAGAGTATCAGACTATATTCTCCTGACATATGATAGGTGTGTTTATTATTGTGGTTACTTCTTTCAAGAAAAAGAAACTACGGCATTTGTTTAGATTTATCAGCACGCACTACATCCTCTCTTGTTGCAGGGCATGTCAAGTGATTCTGTATTGTATGCTATGGAGTAACCCAAGAAGAAAATGACAGATTAATACTTATTTTTATGGGTTCTGGCCCACTCCCATACTACCAAAAAGTCAAGCTCTGTCTCAGCAGGATGTAATTCAAACTCTGTGTTAGAAAAGCATCCCTGATATCTTTCTATCTTCAGGCATTATGCTGTCTGTGAGAAGCGAGCAGTGCATTTTGCAATGAGTGCTGCCAGAATGATAAACAGAACCTGATTCACTGTCATTCAGATCTGAACATATTTGTATATATGTAAGCATGTATGTTCTATATATGTATGTATTCCTTTAAATTTCCAGGACTAAATAGACAACAGTCATGCAAAGCTCTTTATTTTGTAAGTGAAACAAATGATATCATTTAAAGTGGGGAAGTTATGGGGTACAGTGAAAAAAGATCACTGACTTTGGAATCAGAGGACCTGGTGGGGTTTGAACCCCACCTCTGAAGCTTATTACCTATGTGACTTTGGGAAGTCAATGAACTTTTCGAGGGCTAAATTTTCCTCAACTGTAAAATGAGGAGGTTGGATTAAATGATTTCTGGGGTACCACTAGCTCCAGATCTATAATTCTACAACTCGTTGTTCATTTTATTTCAGTCTTGTCTGACTCCTTGTGACCTCATTTGGGGTTTTCTTGACAAAGATACCGGAGTGATTTCCCATTTCCTTCTCCAGCTCATTTTACTGATGAGGAAACTGAGGCAAACAGGATTAAGTGAATTGCCCAGAATCACACATCTAGGAAGTATTTGAGATCAGATTTGAACTCAGGAAGACTCATCTTCCTGACTCCAGGCCCAGTGCTCTATCCAGTACACCGTCTAGCTATCCCCATAATCTTAAAAGTACCTAAACCATAATTCTGATAGTCACATTTAGATTTTTAAAAATTACAAAATCATTCAAATTGTATAATGTTCCTGAGACAGCAAGAAGTCATCTAATCCAGTGGTATCAAAACTCAAATAGTCACAGGAGGCCCTAAGCCATAAATAAGGATCCCTGCAGGTGCATACGGACTTAGATAGCCTCATATTAATATTATCTGTGTTTTGTTGTATTTTGATTTATTTTGTTAAATATTTCACAATCATATTTTAATCTGGTTCAGGCTCTCTTGAGAGTGTCATGACTACAATGGGGCCCGAGGTCACCATTTTTTTACCTCTCATCTAATTTTTTATTTTCAGGCATGTACATAATTCCAGATTTAATTGATGGTCTCATTTTTAAGGGTACAAAGTTCAGAGGTCCTCCAAGAGGCATCCTAGTTTGTTTCATCTCTGTTATCTGTAATAATATTGTATACATGTATAGTAGGTCAGCCTAATCTTCCATATCTTTAGGGTAGGAGATAACACAACAAACTCCATTAGCACCTAACCCTTGAATTAATTGGATTCAGATATATCCCCCAATGTTCATTACTATTAATAGTTTTCAAATTAATGATGCAGGTAAAAAAAAATAATAACCCTAGTCCTTCTAATCCTGCCCCATGAAAATACTGATAATTTATGATCAGTATCCTTTGTAAACAGCCATTCATATACTTAAAGATCATGACCTCACCATTAGATTATTTCCAGAATCTGTGACTTAGTTCCATGAACCTTACATTATTTTATTACCTCAGTTCACCGTATTTTCATTATATTTACATATTTCATTAAATGAAACTAAAGTCAGGTTTAAGACACAGTAAGAGAAAGGCAGGTAGGTGGTACAGTGTATAGAGCACTGGCCCTGGAGGACCTGAGTTCAAATGTGGCCTCAGACACTTGACACTTACCAGCTGTGTGATCCTGGGCAAGTCACCCCGATTACCTAGCCAAAAAAAAAAAAAAGACACAGCAAGAGGCCAACTGTTGCCAAATGCAAAGCTGGATTACTCCTTGTCTTGCATTTCAGACTTTGAAGAATGTGATATTCCATTATTTTAATAAAATAAGATTATGCTGATGCCCCACCTTCTGTGAGTAGAGCATAAATTTTGATTGACTTTCGCAGTAGTGATGTTAGAGTTTCACTAGGTCATTTTTTTCCCTCTGGACCCTAATGTCACCATCAGCCACTACTTAAGAGACAGTTGGAAAATACTATGGACCCAGGCTAAACAGTTTCTTGTATTTATCATGGTTACTGTCATCCAGTGTGTTACTGACCCAGGATAGCAATTCAGGACCTACTCCTGGGGAAAAACAAAACAAAAACTGAATGTGTTTCCCTAGGCTGAGTCTGACATATTGACCTCCTAAGCCTTGGACTATAGGACTGATGTATACTCTGACCTGTACTGTGCTTCAGTTGATGAAACAAACATCTCTCCATTCAATAAGAAGATATGTAGGTAGCATATTCCTAGCAACTAAACATATCAAAATATCTTTCATCCTGTAATGCTAAGGGAGTATGCTGTTTCGCAATTCAAAGGAAAAATAAAGTAAAACCAAATTTTAATTTCAGTGAAAATCTTTTCTCCAAATGAACTTTACTGGAAGTTATAGGAACAACATTTTACTTCTGGGAATTTGTAAAAAAAAAATTAGGAATACTAATTGTGATTACAAATCTAAATTTCAAATGAGAGACCAAGGGTTATTTATAGTTAGAAGTACTTATGAATTTCTACCCCTCTGGGCTATACAAAGTAGATGGATTTTTTTTCTTTAACAAAATTAAACAAGTTAGAAACTTAAAAGTCTGACATGATTCAATCTATATGTAAAACATAATGAGATTTCTGAATTTGAATTTTAGCAGTCAGAACAGAACATGATAACATTATGCAACATTTGTAGATACTTTCTGGCAATATATCATTTCTAGTATGAAGTAGTATAAAGGAAAAAGCAGGATGGCAAATGCTATAAAGTAGGTCAGTGCATGGAAAATTCAAATGACTTTGAAAATACAGATTAGATTTTTACCATCATAATGCTAAATATTCCTGAGACAAATAAATGACTTACTGAACTAACCAATCTTTAGAAACAAAAATGATCATCACCATATTCTATATATTTATATGTATGTATGTATATTTATAAATAGATAGCTATAGACACTATATATATATATGTATATATGTATATATGTATATATGTATATATATATATATATATATATATATATATATATATCTCACATTTATATGATGTTTTAGGATTTAGAAAGTATTCTCCCCACAGCAAACTTGAGGTAGGTACTATGAGTAATTTTAACCCCATTTTATATAGGTAAGAAAAAAAAATGAGACCGAGGTTAAGAAAATTGTCCATGCTTTTATAACTCATAATTGCTTGAAATTGGACTTGAACCAAGTTCAATTGACTCCAAGTCAAATACTCTATGCCCACATCTAGACCACATTTCCTCTTGAAACAACACTATACCCAGTAAGTTTCTTTGCATTTTATATATATATATATATATATATATAGTTTTTGTGTTTGTAGTAACATCATTTACTTTGCTTTCCATTAGGCATCTTTATTTATGTGCTCTGATTTAAAAGGACAAGCAAATACAACTATATGATTTTGCATTTAATTTTCTTTACAATGCTGTAAAGAGTATTTGATGTGCAGTCAGGGGACACGGGTCTACTTGCCAAGTCTGCTCTTTTACTAGCTCTGTGACTTTGGACAAATCACTTCAGCTCTATGTGCTTCAGTTTTCTCCTCTGTTACATGAGGATAATTATATTTGGTTGTTGTCCTTCGTTCTCTAAGAGGACCAAAATGACCATTATGTTGGCCTCAAGAAACATTGTGACTGATAAGACCAATACAAGCTTGGAGTGCTCTGCCACTGGCTGGGCACAAGTAGTCCGACTGAACATTTGGAGTGGAGATGTCTTTAAATTTGCATGTCACATTTCTCTTGAGTTATTGCAATTCTGCTTTGTTTCTTAGAACACATCACCTTCTTTGATGCAGGCACGCCATGCTGGGCAGTCCTGTGCCAGTGTCTCCCATGTCTCAAAAATTATATTTATACTTCCCCTACCTTACCTTATAGCATTGTTGTGAAAAGCAAAGGATATCACATAAAGTTTTTACTAAACCATAAAATTAAATATGAATGTATGTGGCATGTTGTTTGTAGTTCATTATTGTCATTATTCCCTATCATTTTCATTATTATTGTTAGTTATTATTATAACTATTAATGATAATTTCAAATTATATTGATCAACTATGTCCTGACTGTTGAGGTTTTCTTTTTTTTTTCATTAAAAATCTCTTAAGCTGAAATACTTGTCAAGTACTAAATTTCTAAGACATTCAAATTTTGGCAACTAATAATAGTTAGCATTTACATAGCACTTTATGATTTGAA